CTCAATATTGATGTAGTCTGAACAATGTAACTACTTTTTGTTGTTTCACTACAGCTTTTTGTTGTTTAACTACAGTCACCATCCTGTGTATTAGTCTGCAGAATCTGTTCATCTTCTGAGTTAAAGTTCGTCCTTTACAGTTAAGAACAAAGTGAGGAAGATCTTGGTTATGTTGCAAAAAAAAGGCAAGCGTTAATTTTCATGATATAAAAGTGAAGCTGACAAAAGGTGGGAAATGGAAAGTTAGGGAAATATGAAGAGAAGGATAGTATTATAGATACCTGCAACTTCTATGATCCAAAGTCAAGGATACCGACTCAAGTTTTTGGAATGAAAAATTGAGGTGTAACCTATTTAAAGTGAAAGAGTAACCACAACAAAACTTGAAAATAATGTTGTAACTACCAAACATCGAAGGATTGGAAGGAAGAAGATAACATAAATGAGCTAAATTCTTATCTTTTATACCTGGAGGCTGTTAGATAACCAAGAAATTGGAAAGAGGAGTGGTTTTTCCAAACACTTTCTATACAAAGCATGCATAATTCATGAGTAGTTTTTTTATAGGCAAATCTGTATAGTCATGGGGGTATAATCTCAGAGCACAGGTGCAGACAATCTCTGTAGCATAAGGACCCATTGTGTTACGGATGATCTTGCAGCCATAGCATATTTTCCATTTCATTATCCATGCCCAGTTAGAAAATTGTATTTGCAAACTTAAAGTTGTATTTGCTTTAATACACTCTTAAATTTTCCCAGAATTATCTTTAATATTTCACAGAGTACTGTCTCCAAAATTTAATAGCTTGGTACATGGCCATATGGCCTTTATATAATGTTTTATTGTCTCTGACTTCTGTTCCAAAAGAATATATTTTCAGGATTGGGTTATTGTTCTCACTGAATTAAATGCTCACTGGTACTTGCTCCTTAGATGACCTTGTTATAGAATAAAAACTGTCTAAACATTATAACTCTAAAAATTAAAATAAAAGGCCAAGGGTTGTGGCTCACACCTGTAATCTCAGTACTTTGAGAGGCGGAGGTAGGGAGATCATGTGAGCCCAGGAGTTTGAGACCAGCCTGGGCAACAAAGTAAGACCTCATCTCTACAAAATGTTATTATATATTTTTAAATTTTATTTTATTTTTTATAATTGAGATGAGCCATGATCATGCAGGGTGAGACCCTGTCTCAAAAAATTAATTAATTTAAAATTACAACTGAAATTAAAATAACAACATCGGCCAGGTGTAGTAGCTCACGCCTGTAATCCCAGCCCTTTGGGAGGCCAAAGCAGGCAGATTACTTGTGGCCAGGAGTTCAAGACCAGCCAGGCCAACATAGTGAAACCCCGTCTCCACTAAAAATACAAAAATTTGCTGAATGTGATGGTGGGCATCTATAATCCCAGCTACGCAGGAGGCTGAAGCATGAGAATCACTTGGACTCAGGAGGTGGAGGTTGCAGTGAGCCGAGATCGTGTCATTACACTCCTGCCTGGGCAGCAGAGTGAGTGAGACTCCATCTAAAATATAAAATAAAATAAATAATGATAATAATAAATTAACAACATAAAAGCCAATTGAATCACTTCTAGATTTAAACTTGCATAACTTTTAAATAACAGCATGGTCTACAAGCCATTATTAAATGAGGACAGGTATAAGTAAAACCTCACTGTAACTCAATAAGTAGGGTCTACCATAGTCAATTCGATAACATGTGGCGCCAATTTAGTACAAAGTTAATGAAATGACCAAGATGCTCCTGCTGCAAAAGGACAGGAGCCAGTCACCAAAGTCATCATATCCAAATTCATGTTATCAAAGGGCATGTAATTCCAAGTTCCATTGTATTTCTGATTACCTGCTAAAGTGACATACCTCATAGCCACAGAGATGAATACCTTGCCATTCTTACTGCTTTTTAGCTTTGAAATTGTGCAGCTTTGAAAAAAATTACTTTTTTTTTGAGACAGAGTCTCATTCTTGTCACCCAAGCTGGAGTGCAGTGGCGTGATCTTGGCTCACTGCAACTTCCAACTCCCAGGTTCAAGTAATTATCCTGCCTCAGCCTCCCAAGTAGCTGGAATTACAGATGCCCATTACCATGACTGGCTAGTTTTTGTATTTTTAGTAGAGACAGGGTTTCACCATGTTGGCCAGGCTGGTCTCGAACTCCTGACTTTGTGATCCACCTGCCTCTGCCTCCCAAAGTGCTGGGATTATGTGAGCCACTGCGCCCAGCCAAAAATTTTTTTCAGAGGTGGGATCTCATCATGTTGCCCATACTGGTCTTAAATGCCTGGGCTCAAGTGACCCTCCCACCTCAACCTCCTGAAGCATTAGGATTATAGGTGTAAGTCACTGTGCCTGGCCACAGCTGGGACTCTCTTAATAGTCCAGTTATACTACTTCAAATATTTATTATTCTTTGTTTGTTTTTGAGACAGGCAACAGAGCAAGGCAAAAAAAAAATAATAATATTATTTATTATTATAATATTATTTATTATTCTTTGTTTTTTTGTTTGCCTTGCTCTGTTGCCTGTCTGAGTGCAAGTGGCATGATCAGGGCTCACTGCAGCCTTGACCTCCCAGGCTCATGTGATCCTCCCACCTCAGCCTTTCAAGTAGCTGGGACCATGAGTACATACTACTATGCCTAGCTGATTTTTTTTTTTTTTTTTTTTTTGGTAGAGACAGTGTCCCTCTATGTTGCCCAGGCTGGTCTCGAACCCTTGCATTCAAGCAATCCTCCTGCCTCAGCTTCCTAAAATGCTGGGATTACAGGCATGAGTCATACCACTCTTAGCCTTGTTATTCCAATTTATGTAAAATATGAGCATATCATAAAAGAGCAGTATTTATTTTAAAAGTTTTGGGTGAGAGAGCCTGTTTACAACTAGAAAAACTAAAAGCAAAAATGTTTAACAGAAAGTCTTCACACAAACCCACAGTTAACATCATAATATATGGAGTAAAGTTGAAAAGATTTTCTCTAAGGTCTGGATCAAGATAAGGGTGTCCACTTTCATCATTTTTATTCGACATAGTCCTAGAACTGCTAGCCAAAGTAATTAGCCAAGAGAAAGAACAGGCATCCAAATTGGAAAGGAGGAAGTCAAATTGTCCCAGTTTGCAAATGACATGATATTATGTATAGAAAACCCTAATGACTCCACCAAAAAAAACTATTAGAACCAATAAATAAATTTAGTAAAGTTGCAGGATGCAAAATCAACATACAAAAAACAGTAGTTTTTTTTTTTATGCCAATCATGAACTATCCAAAAAAGAAGAAAACAATCCCATTTATAATAACTAATATGCACGTGTGTGTGTGTGTGTGTGTGTGTGTGTGTGTGTATATATATATATATATATCTCCACATATATATATAAAATCTAGGAATACATTTAACCAAGGAGGTAAAATATCTCTACAATGGAAGCTATAAAACACTGATGAAAGAAATTGAAGAGGATACAAATAAATGTAAAGAGATTCTGTGTTCATGGATTGAGAGAATTAATATTGTTAAAATGTACATACTACCCAAAGTGATCTACAGATTCAGTGCAATCCCTGTCAAAATTCCAATGACATTCTTCACAAAAATAGAAAAAGCAATTCTAAAATTTGTATGGAACCACAAAAGTTCCCAAATATCCAAAGCATTCTTGAACAAAAAGAACAAAGCTGACATCACACTACCTTATTTCAAAATGTACTATACAAAGCTATCATAACCAAAACAGCATCATATCTTTATGTCTGTGCATAAAAATAGGCACATAAACCAATGGCACTAAATAGGAAACACAGAAATAAATCCACATGCAGCCAACTAATTTTCTGCAGTGATACCAAGAATAGACATTGGAAAAAGGACAGTGTCTTTAATAAATGATGCTGGGAAAACTGAATATCCATATGCAGAAAATGAAACTAGACCTCTACTTCTCACTACATATAAAAACCAACTCAAAATGGATTAAAGACGTAAATGTAAGATCTACAGCTGTAAAACTACTGGGAAAAATCATAAGGGAAATACTTCATGACATCGATCTGGGCAAAGATTTTTTTTGGACAAGAACTGAAAAGCACAGACAGCAAGATGGCTCATGCCTGAAATCCCAGAACTTTGGGAGGCCGAGGCAAGTGGATCACCTGAGGTCAGGAGTTCAAGATCAGCCTGGCCAACGTGGCAAAACCCCATCTCTACTTAAAATACAAAAAAATTAGCCAGGCGTGGTGGTACGTGCCTGTAATCCCAGCTACTCAGGAGGCTGAGGCACAAGAATCGCTTGAATCTGAGAGATGGAAGTTGCAGCGAGCCAAGATTGTGCCATTGCACTCCAGCCTGGGTGACTGGAGTGAGACTCCCTCTCAAAAAAAAAAAAAAAAAAGCATAAGTAACAAAAGCAAAAATGGACAAGTGGGATTACCGCAAACGAAAAAGCTTCTGCACAGCAAAGAAAACAATCAACAGAGTGAAAAGACAACCTAAAGAATGAGAGAAAATATTTACAAACTGTGCATCTGACAAGGAGTTAATGCAAAATATATAAGGAATTCAACTCAATAGCAAAAACCAAATAATCCAATTTAAAAATGGGCAAAAGACCTTACTAGATGCTTTCAAAAGAAGACATACACATGGCCACTAGGTATAGGAAAAATGTAGGTCGAGCACGGTGGCTCACACCTGTAATCCCAGCATTTTCGGAGGCTGAGGTGGGGGGATCATGAGATCAAGCGATCGAGACTATCCTGGACAACATGGTGAAACCCCGTCTCTACTAAAAACACAAAAATTAACCAGGCATGGTCGTGCATGCCTGTAGTCCCAGCTACTTGGGAGGCTGAGGCAGGAGAATCGCTTGAACCAGGGAGGCAGAAGTTGCAGTGAGCCAAGATTGTGCCACTGCACTTCAGCTTGGCAACAGAGTACAACTCTGTCTCAAAAACAAACCGAAAAGAAAGAAAGAAAAAAACAAAAAATGCTCAACGTCACTAATCATCAGGGAAATGCAAATCAAAACCACGATGAGATATCATTTTATACTTGTCAAAATGACTATTACCAAAAAGACAATAAACAACAAATATTAGTGTGAGTGTGGAGAAAATGGAACCCTTCTGCATTGTTGTTAGGAATGTATATTAGTACAGCTATTATGGAAAACAGCATAGCAGTCCTCAAAAAATTATAGAGCTACCAAATGACTCATTAATTCCACTAGTGGCTATTTATCCAAAGGAAATAAAATCAGTATGTTGAAGAGACATATTTGCACTCCCATGTTTAATGCAGCATTATTCTCGTTAAACAAGATATGGAATCAACAGAATTAAAAACAAAAATCACATGATCATCTCAGTAGACGTAGAAAAAGCATTCAACAAAATCTAGCAACCCTTTATATATAAAATTATCAGCAAAATCAGCATACAAGGGACATACTTCAATGTAATAAGAACCATCTATGACAAACCTACAACCAACATAATAATGAATGGGGAAAAGTTGAAAGCATTCCCTCTGAGAACTAGAACAAGACAAGGATGCCCAATCTTACCACTCCTCTTCAGCATAGTAACGGAAGTCCTAGCCAGACCAATCAGACAAGATCATTGACCTTGAAAACCCTAAAGACTCCTCCAGAAAGCTCCTAGATTGATAAAAGAATTCAGCTAAGTTTCCAGATACAAGATTAATGTACACAAATCAGTAGCTCTTCTATACACCAATGGCGATCAAGTGGAGAATCAAATAAGAAACTCAACTCGTTTTACAATAGCTGCAAAAATAAAATAAAATAAAATAAAAAGCAATGTATGTAACCAAGGAAGCAAAGACCTCTACAAGGAAAACTAAAAAACACTGCTGAAAGAAATCATAGATGACACAAACAAATGGAAACACATCCCCTGCCCATGGATAGGTAGAATCAGTATTGTGAAAATGACCATACTGCCAAAAGCAATCTACAAATTCAATGCAATCCCCATCAAAATACCACCATCATTCTTCAAAGAATTATAAACAATTCTAAAATTCATATGGAACCAAAAAAGAGCCCACATAGCCATAACAAGACTAAGCAAAAAGAATAAATCTGGAGGCATCACATTACCTGATTTCAAACTACACCGTAGGGCCATAGTCACCGAAACAGCAGGTACTGGTATAAAAATAGGCACATAGACCAAAGGAACAGAATAGAGAACCCAGAAATAAACCCAAATATTTACAGCCAACTGATCTTTGACAAAGCAAACAAAAACAAGTGGAGAAAGGACACCCTTTTCAACAAATGGTGCTGGGATAACTGTCTAGCTACATGTAGGAGCATGAAACTGGATCCTCTTCGGTCACCTTATACAAAAATCAACTCAGGATGGATCAAAGACTTAAATATAAGACCTGAAACTATAAAAATTCTAGAAGATAACATTTGAAAAACCCTTCTAGACATTAGCTTAGGCAAGGATTCTATAACCAAGAATCCACAAGCAAATGCAATAAAAACAAAGATAAGTAGTCAGGACTTAATTAAACTAAAGAGCTTTTGCATGGCAAAACAAACAAAACAAGAACAACAACAACAACAAAAAAAAAACAGTCAAAGAGAAAACAGACAACCCACAGAGTGGGAGGAAATCTTCACAATCCATACATCTTACAAAGGACTAATATCCAGCATCTACAACAAACTCAAATCAGTAAGAGAAAAAGAAACATTCCCATCAAAAAGTGGGCTAAGGACATGAATAGACAATTCTCTAAAGAAGATATACAAATGGCCAAAAACCTGTATGAAAAAATGCTCAACATCACTAATGGTCAGGGAAATGCAAATCCAAACCACAATGGGATACCAACTTACTCCTGGAAGAATGGCCATAATCAAAAAATCAAAAAACAGTAGATGTTATCATGGATGCAGTGAACAGGAAACACTTCTACACTGCTGGTGGGAATGTAAATCGGTACAACCACCATGGAAAACAGTGTGGAGATTCCTTAAAGAAATAAAAGTAGAAGGCCAGGCGCGGTGGCTCAAGCCTGTAATCCCAGCACTTTGGGAGGCCGAGGCAGGTGGATCACGAGGTCAAGAGATCGAGACCATCCTGGTCAACATGGTGAAACCCCGTCTCTACTAAAAATACAAAAAATTAGCTGGGCATGGTGGTGTGTGCCTGTAATCCCAGCTACTCGGGAGGCTGAGGCAGGAGAATTGCCTGAACCCAGGAGGCGAAGGTTGC